GGGGGTGTTCACACCTTCCTGCAACAAGCAGCTCTTGTACATAAAAAGACAGGTCAGCTTATTTCTCAATGTCTAAAACACAGGTCATTAATCTAACTAAACAATGGACCTCTTTCACAAGCAAATCCAGGTCCAACATTCAAATCATTAAGGGTGTAATACACCAAGAAACAATCTTCAAATTTCCTTTCTTTGATCATGATGATGTTAGTATATTGTATTTGTAATATAATTATGGAAATATAAATAAATATAAACAGAAATGAACATAAACAGAAATGACAGAAAACCAATCCGAGCCCACTGAATTCACAGTGTTTCCTTAAGGAATTTAATCCCCTCCTAGTACCCAAGGTTATGGATTATTTCCTCCCAGGATAGAACGAATTACACACTGGTGTAGTGGTACTTCAAACCCCAGTGTTTCAGCGAACACAAAGTTCGGTAGCAAATCACACTTACTTTTTACTTTGTTTGATGCTAAAAGTATGCAGAAGAAGGAGAGAAAACTCAGAAAATCGTAGTGAAATTCTGAGCAGAATAGTGTTGTGTTTATAGCCAAAGTTGGGCTGAAATCTGAAGAGGTGCAACTCTTCAGAATGGCTGTTTATGCAAAACGGCCACAGCATAAATGCCATTACATAAATGGCCATTTACTCAACAATAAAGAGGGAAAATTGAAGAGGTTAGTTACTTTTCTGTTACCAAAACAGAAAAACGGATTGGATTTAATATTAATATTCTGTTATTAAAACAAATATTTAATAACAATTCTGTTAATATTTTACTATTAACAAATAAATTTGGTCCAAAAAGTTAATCAATTAATCAATCATTTGACTGAATCCGATTCCGAAGCCGAAGCCGTAACGAGAGACGACGACGGCGCGAGACTTGCCTTCTTCTCAACTCTTTAAGAGCTAGAAGAAGAACAATTGCTTATATACCCATAAAAAACCTCTTCCTCTTCCAATATGGGACAATGTCCATTTGCCAAGGGGGAAACTTAAAATTTCACTCAAAATTTCATTTCCCTCCATTTCCCATTCACCCTCTTTTTAAGTATTTAATATATTAATTAAATAGAACAAAAACCCAACAGATGATAACATACTGAGAAGAAAGCCAACATGCAGTGCAAATCCCAAGGTGAACATTCGCTATGAATTCTGATAGCCTAAAGGTACTAACAAGTAGGGCTACTACTTCCGAATCCAAGAACTGTGTAAGTCTCAAAGGCCACTAAAAGTGCCACATAGTACTATTTTTGCTAACCTTCCGACAAATCCACACTTTGCACTCACTCAAAACACAATAACAATGTCTTCAATAATACATTTCCAGAAGTAAATGGATTTATGTTATATAAACTAGTCGTGTAAACACCCGGTATGGGTAAGTATTTACCGTTACCATCTCACTAAATTAACAAATAATGCTTATCAAGATATTTATCTATAATTATCTAATATACATGACTTAATTGTGTAAATTATTTTTACACCGTCAGTATCTCGGAAAAGATTACTTCGAGTTTTAAGATATTGAGCATTAAAAAGTACTATAACAGATGTTTCTTTTTTCGTTGCTGTGCTTACCTTAGGTAATATGGAAACTCATCGAAGGTGACTTTACTATCTTTGCCGTTAGCAATAAGGTTGAGTATCTCTTGCTCCATTATCAGAGGTGTAATAACATTGGCGGCGGATCCACCAGTCCATCTGCTAACCGTCTGACCTGAAGCCAATCCAATCCCAACTCCAACTCCTATCCCCACACCCAAAGCTGACAACAACATATTCTTCTGTTCCATAGCTTATATATATATACTCCCCAAAAAAAAAAACTTTTCCCCAGACTCCGAAATTGTAAAACAGAATACGTACGTCAAGCACCGCCAACAAAATAACTCGTTTCTTCTTCTCAAAATGACGAGAAAATCACGATTTTCCAATGGATAAACAGAGGATATTTATTAAACTCAAATTTGGAGCCGAAAGTACTTAAAATCGCTGAAACCGACACAGACTTTACCGTAAGCTTTGGTAAATTTGCAAAACAGAGTACGTCGAGCGCAAATCACGACTTTTCAATGGATTAAAAGCAGAGCCTCAGATTTGGAGCCGAAAGTGCTTAAAATCGTTGAAATTGACCCAAACTTTACCGTAAGGTTTGATAAAACAAACAGAAATTCAAATATTTTTAACAAAAGTTGAAATATTCCAACGCTTCTCCCAGTATGAATATAGATCAGTTTTCTTCCCAAAGATCACTCGGAACACAACGCGTTACGATCAACTTTTCTCGCACTCTGTTTTTTGCTACGTCCGCACAGATTCCTCACACTGCATATAACGTGTTTGCGCTGATAAAAAGAACTCCTATATTTCTCCTATACACTGCATATAACGTGTTAACTGTATATAATATGGTGAACGCTACGGATGGATCTCGAAACAGTGAAGATTTTGTAAATTAACGGTGGCGGAGTAGCGGTGGTTCACGGCGGAGAATAAACGAGGAAAGAAATGAGAAAGGAGATAAAGGTGGTTAGAGAGACTGAAGTCTGTATTTTCAGTTCCCGCTTTTTCAGGCTTCGGGTCCTGACGTGTGAGTATTTGTAGATAAATATAAGGCAGGAATTATCTACAATTCAGACCGTTGTAACACAAAGCTATACAGCGCAATTTGCTTATTCTCTTAAAAAAACAAATTCCTATTAATTCATTAAGGACATAATATAACCAAAAGAATGTACTACATTATTTATAATCTAATTTACAAAAATAATTTGATCTAAATCAAAAGACATGTGTTGACATTGAGTATCGTATTTTCTATAAATTTTTTATTTATTACAAATGCTTAAGCAATTATACTCTTCCCTCCAAATTGAATCGAGAATTCACAATCATAGAAAAACCAACCGATATAAATTAACAATTGACGTCTTCGTGTCAACATATAGTTCTGCATCTATAAATAAACACACCTTAAAATAGTCTTAAGGTCACATTTTGTATCTCAACATATTTTTAGGAAATTATTTTTTTGCTACAGATATTTATACCAAGTATTGAATAACTCTATCTAAATAAAACTTTGACCTTGTGTGACTCGACGGGTGCATTGGGTCGCAGGTGATTATGGTAGGGATGCGATACAGAGAATCTTCTAGTATATTATTATTCTGGACTTTGTGATAAAATGGTCAGAATGCTGTACTTGGTACTATGCAACAAAATTAAATTCAACCGTGGCTATGCCTGATGTTGCCGAAATGGATAGCGAATCAAATTTCAGTTAGGAAAATATTGGCAGGTGTAATTTTACAAAAAGACCCTTAGATTTTTATGAAATGGCGTGAATGCCCCCTATCTGTTGTATATATCGGAGCAAGTGGATTGACAAATATCTTGCGGGAGAAAGAAAAAAAAGAAGATAAGAGACAACTCTATTTTTGGCAAGTATACGTTGAATTTGGGACAACTTTGTGGAATCAGGTGGTTTTACTTTGTCTATATGTTGGTACTACTTTTCCATCTCAATTTATATACTAACAGTATTTGTAATATAGAGACGGGGAGCTTTGACGTAACTGTTAAAGTTATTATTATATGATCAGAAGGTTAAGGATTCGAGCCATGAAAAATAACCTCTTATAAAAATGTAGGTTATTGTTGTATACGATAGATCTTTATGGTCTAGCCTTTTTCCCGATCCCGTGCATAACGGGAGCTTAGTGCGCCGGGCTATTTTTTTTGTTTGTAATATAGAACAGAGTAATATATTTGTATGACTATAAAATATCTAATTAAAAATAACATGAAATTAATTAAATTAAATTATTTTAAAACTAAACTAAAAGAATATGTCATGTAATTTGGAACGGCGTCTTATTTTTTAATTTTCCAAAATGAAAAAGGAGGTTGGGGATAAAGTTTTTATTTTTGTTTTAAGAAAAAGGATCTTTCGTCTTTCGAGAAAGTTTGATTCTCTGATGACTATTGCATAAACTAACATGCAAAACATGGAAAAATAATTTAAAGGAAAAGAAACAGAAGAAAGAAATTAATATATTTTGGCTGATACTCCTCCGTCTCAACTTATCTGTCATATTTCTCATCTAGACGCTCCTTAAGAAAATATTAAATATAATTTTTTTGATTATTTTATCTTTATTTATATTTAGAGATATAATCTCTCTTCATTTAATACTTATTCATAATTAAGATATTTGTACTCTTCAAAAACAACTAATACTAAGGGTAAAAGAAGAAAAAATAATTAATTTTCTTTTGAACTTTTAAGATGATAAATAATTAAAAATAATTATTTTTAGAAACCACGACAAATAATTTGAAACCGAAAGAGTAGTAAGCCATCAATTAGTACTTAATTTAGTTGGGGGAACACACAGAAATGGGAAGCATTGGGACTTGAGAGAAGGTAGGATTCAAGCTACTTGCATGCATGTAGCAAAGCATGAGTATATCAAACGATATATTGCAAGTTGCTGACAACAAACTTGTTCTAACCACAAAGTAAACAACATATATTACCTGAATAAAATATAATCAGTTATATAGTAGTATTCACTTTCTTTGGGTTCTTTTAAAAATTTAATTTTAATGAGTCTAGATATTAATCAAAAAAATTAAAGGAGATCATTTTCTTAATAAGTTCAAATATTTTATAAATGTAAACCGGCCATTGCCTAGTTATTTCCATCATAGTTAAATACAATCGTAATAACAACAACAAATTCATTGCAATTCTACAAGTAGGGTCGTGGGAGAATAGTATGTAAATACACCTTATCAGAGTTAAATATAAAATGTGTAATAAGAAGGAACCTCGGATCGTATTCTGAAATTTTAAGTTAATGGGAGCAAAAATACAACTATATTATATATACCACTCTTAGCAAAAACTCATAACAAGCCCATTAATTTTTCACAAGTGGGGTCTGGGACAATAGGGAAATTTGTGTTTTTTAAATTTTATTTCAACTCAAAAATTCCATGCAATATGTTTTTTTGTGAGTTTATAAAGTTGAAAAGACATAATAAGTATATCTGCACATTATAACAACAAGTCAGGATGGCCGAGTGGTCTAAGGCGCCAGACTCAAGTTCTGGTCTTCGAGAGAGGGCGTGGGTTCAAATCCCACTTCTGACAATCTTTTTTTAACAATTTTCTGATGCTCATATTTTATTTTTCACTCGACCAAGACTTCAAACTAATGCCTAATTACCTATTAAATGAATAGTCATAGTTGTACCATTTAAAATTGAATTTCCAACTCACCATGTGTTGACAACTGGAGGGCTAAGCTCAAATACCACTTCATTTCCACCCATAGAATTTTTTATCCTTTTAAATCACTTTTCCTTTCTGTTGCTGCCATTTGCCACTTGACATAAGCCATTGATAGTCACCAGATTTAGCTGTGACCAAGTGGCTCCTCTTAGCCCTATGTCCTTTTAATAATTTGCACCTAAGTTCTACGTGTAACATTTCCTATCCTTATCATTACTAATACCATTTGATATCTCCATGATTGCACCATTTTTTGTTTTTAGTAAAAGCATCACATATGTTTGTTGTTCTATGGTTCTAGAATTAACTTGTCATCTGCAACCAAAACAAATACACATCTCGGACTAGCTTGCGTTCATCTCAATTACTTTTATTACATAGTAGTTATCTTTCATAAGCATAACCCGAGAAACTCGACCCACCAAAATTTTGAATAAATGAGAAGAAACCGGCTAAATATTTTTGACCCTCGATAAAAAGATGTGGAGGTCGAGTATTAGGATTGTAGGTTGACAGGTAGTTGAGAATTTCTCCTAGTCTAACCAGCAATATTAGTACTAGTCTTATATTTTACTATTCTCAGTTCCTTGTTATTACAAGGTGTGTCATTCTTACCAGTAGTTAGACATTATTGTTGTATCTTTCATATTCCTAGATCTTTGTTATTACACACCGTGTCGTTGGCATTGTCATATTACTTTGTTGATGCTACTGATTGTTTCTCACTCCCTTTTCTGTTCTTGAGCCGAGGGTCTATCGAAAACAATCTCTCTATCTTTACTAGGTAGGGATAAAGTTTGCGTATACACTACCCTCCCCAGAATCCACTTGTAAGATTTCGCTGAGTTTGTCATTGTTGTTGTAAAATAAAAAACACTTACATGCACAGAGTAATGAAAATTTCCAGTGCAATAACCAATAACCAGCACGCTGACAACGACATAGAGATTGCAAAAATACACAAACTTATGAAGATAATTCATTAAATCACATGAATTGAAATAAGTTTTATTTCATTTCATTAAATCTAAGAATACAAAGCCATTCCACAGACTATGTAAGAGGATGGATGGCAATAAATTCCTTGAACGTCCATATATTACACCCATTACAACCCCTAGAAAAATTAGTGGTAACATCCTTTGTACATTAAAATGTGCTAAAGCAAATGCAACCGAACTCATAAGAATTGAACACCATACAGGCATATATTTTGTCAGTGAAGGAAGGAGGAATCCCCTAAATACAATCTCCTCCCAAAGAGGAGCACACACAACAAGTACCAGTGCGTACAGTGCCATCGCCACTGGATCCCGTGCCAATATAGACTGCTCTACACTAGAGAGAGTTACGGGAGTTGAAGGGAGAACAGGCAATAGGTCCAGGTTGAACTGTGAGAGACGGTTCACTAATGGAAACATGAGACATCCGAGAAGAACGTCGAATAACCAGTTCCCTTTCAGGCTAAACTTGAACCAATCTGATGGAAGGGGACGAAAACGGGATAGACAGCGTTTAAGAATAAGAATTCCAGCAAGACCTTCAGTGACATCGGTCAAAAGGCTGAACAAAGCCTGTCCTCTGAATGTGAGTGATTCTTTGCTAATGCCTACCATATAGGCTCCAAAAGGAATCATCCATGAACCGATAAACCAAAATGAGACAATCCAAAGAAGCATAACCTGCACAACCATAGCTATGGTCGATAAGAGGTTACCACGTGACACACATGACATAGATAAGTCGAAAAATAACAACCGGGGATACGTTGAGACAAAGTAACTTGACAAATGAACTACCGACACTCATGCATTATCCACCAGTAACTTAGTCATGATGAACAGTGAAAATGTACACTGAGTTTTGGTTAGGCCTCATCGTTAAGGAGGAAGACCCTTTACCTGAAGGATGGTCTCCGCTGTCCATGGGACAGTCCATGGTTTGCCGATCACCTTAAATACTACATCTGCAGCCTGAAAAGCATGAAGCTCTCATTAAACTTGAGAAACATTTGCTTTTAGTACTTAATCATCTGTGTCAAGTAATTAACAAATACTCATCAAAGAAAAGTCTTCCTGCAAAGGTGTGGAGCAATGAGCCTAAAGTATATCTATAAAGAATCGCTCTTATCTTCTTGAAGGCCCTTATGTCCGAATCAACTAATGCACATCGCATTGAATCAACACCAGAGGCCAATCCAGGATATAAACTCTATGGATTCAATTTTTAAGGTTCTTACCATTGAAACCACTAATATATTTAA